TTTCTCACTGTTCAAGAACCATTCCTTTGAAAGACAAGAATGGTATATAAATACCTCCCTCTGGCAACTTTTGCTTTTATGGTTTCTTTTACAAAAGTGAGGCATATTTATTAGTATTCAACATATGGAGTCAAGATATTTAAGCATTGCTTTAATAGTAAATTCTTCACTGTTTCAGGAAGCAAGTATTGGCTTTGTAAAGATGCATGCAGATAGATGTTAAGATTATTTATAATTCAGCCTGAATATCTTTGCCAAAAGGCTTTAATAGTATTATGGAATATAATGCATATGCTGCTGTGGTGATGCAGTATTTGGCACAGGTCTGTATATTGGCACCCCTTTGGTCTTTTTGAATATAGTCCCAACATTCCATTTGAAAGTTCCTACCACTGAAAACTTCATGTGGTACTCCAGGATTTGTCTAAAAGGTATGTAGTACATAGTTGGCTGGACTGAGCCAGAGACCTCAAATGCACTGCTCCAAGCCAATAATGGAACTTACTTAATGCCAGAACCCTGTAACTTCATGCCTTGTTAGTCTAAGATGTCATTGGCATCCATTGTTTTAATCCACTGCAGCTTAAATGTTTCTCTACCCTAACTATGCTTTTGTATTTGTAACTAGCTGTCAAACTATATTTGGCAATTTAATAGAGAGAGGAAAATAATATTCCTGTTTTGTCTAGCCATAATCAATGTGATGTAAGTGCCAAACACAGCTACCCCATTTTAAAAAAATGTTGAACACTGTGGGTATGTCTACACTACCACCCTAGTTCGAACGAGGGTGGTAATGTAGGCAACCGGAGTTGCAAATGAAGCCCGGGATTTGAATTTCCCGGGCTTCATTTGCATAAAGTGGGGCACCGCCATTTTTAAATGTCCGCTAGTGCGGACTCCATGCCGCGCAACTACACGCGGCACGGACTGGGTAGTTCGGACTAGGCTTCCTAGTCCGAACTACCGTTACTCCTCGTTTCACTAGGAAGCCTAGTCCGAACTACCTAGTCCGTGCCGTGTGTAGTCGCGCGGCACGGAGTCTGCGCTAGCGGACATTTAAAAATGGCGGCGCCCGGCTTTATGCAAATGAAGCCCAGGAAATTCAAATCCCGGGCTTCATTTGCAACTCCGGTTGCCTACATTACCACCCTAGTTCGAACTAGGGTGGTAGTGTAGACATACCCTATCCTATTTTTCTACGTTGTTATATATCCTAATATTTGAACAAATCCTATTTTCTCCAAATCAGTTTGGAAATATAATTGACATTCAGTTGGTAAACAGTTTTATTTTTAAGTAGATAATCTCTGCTTCGAGAAGCAATTATCTAATTTACTGCAGATCTACTACTTTGTTTTTACAACTATATTTAAAAATCTGTTACTAGATCTGGTTTCCAGTAATCTGATTTATCCTACTTAGATGCTTATCATATTCTGAAATTATTGGTCACCTTTTGCCCTTGGAACTTAAACTGAAATAGAATGTTGGTATTTCCAGGATTATGGACTGAATATAGAACTATATTTGCTACCGCATCTTTATAAGATTTGTCGCCCAGTGCTTTAGTATATAACAATTAAATAGCTTTGCCTGACTTTTAAAAAATGTTATCTTTACTTGAATCTTGATATTTTTCTGTTTTATTTATGTACATACACAAACTATTATTTTAGTACAACGAGTGTCTTTAAAAAAACCTAAAACAGAGTTAACTGGATCCTGGAGGTGTGTATCTTGCTGAAGATCTGCATCAGTTGCTTTCCACCTCAGTTGATATCAGCCCAAATTGACATGTTTGCTTTTGCCTTTTTGGAATGCTCCACTGCAATGAAATGTGATTGTTTTCCCTTTTTTACTGATTTCCATATCAAGTTCTTAGCTGGCAAATGGAAATTCAGTTTAATACTATTCAGTCTGGGCTCTGATATTCAGATTCTGTCACATGCATCATTACCAGTAGAAGATTCTGTGGACTAAATTATACCTATAGCTATCTCTGTATATATTTCTCTTCAGAGTCTATATCCTTTTACTGATACAGGCAAACTCTCTAAACCAGGGGTGGGCAACTACAGCCCATTATTAAATAGCTTTTAATCCAAACTTTAGGATTACCAGTCTGATCTGATAGAAGGGTAAGGCAGGCTCCCTGCATACCCTGGTTTTGAGCTGCTCCCAGAAGCAACTGGCACATCCCAGCAGTCCCTTCCTGGGGAGGAGCAGAGGGCTCTGCACACTGCCCTCACTGGCAGATGCTGTCCCTACAGCTCTTGTTGGCTACGGTTCCATTCCCAGCCAATTGAAGCAGATAATAGTGTCTGCAGGTGAGGACAGCATGTGGAGTCACCAGCCTTAATCCTACTGCACTGCTGACTGGGAGCTGCCCAAGGTAAGCATTCTGAACACCTCCTGTGCCCCAGCTCTGAACCCCCTGCACCTCAGTCTTCTCCTACACCCCTCGCCCTCTATCCTAATTCATAGCTTACCACTCTGTTTCCTTACCCAGAGGTCGGTCTTGGGCCAAAAAATTTGTCAACCACTGCTCTGCAGGCTAATGTAAGTGCACAAGAGGCTATGAAGGCATAATCTGACCTACAGATGCTGTGCTAGTGGAAGCAAAGTTTGGGTTCTGTCTTAATTGGATTGCTAGCCAATGTGAGTTTGGGGAGCTGTGTTAAAAAAATCTCACTACTTGCCAGCTGCTGACACTTGCTATGAGTCCAGCCTATAGAACATGAGTAAGACTTTTACTCACTCTGATACCAAAAAAGTAGTGGTGGTAGGGTGCTTCTGCTCTTCAGTATGATTTTAACAATGTAATTCTAAGGGTGTTAAGGAGTAACAGGATGCATGATCTACCACATAGAGCACACGACTGCAGTTCAGTTTTCTGTTGCTAGTTCTGCTCCCATGTCTTTAGGGTAACCTCAGGCAAGTCACTTTTCTTTTGTGCTTCTGTTTTGTCCATCTGTTAATTACGGGTAATGATACTGGCCATCTTGGCAAAGCACTTTAAGATCTACCAACAAAAACTGCTCAATAAAAGCTTGCAGGGAAGAGAATTCCATGGACTTTTGGTAAAATTACAACCAAGACAGGCACTCTGGAACACTCACTTCAGACACGTTCTATAGCAAATTTTGGGAAGTGCTTAACTTACAAAAATAGGTACATAAAATAGTTCCTAAGCTGTAGATAGATTAAGCTGATATACTTTGGTAAAATATTCATTACTTTTGGCTGGTTGCGCATCTAATAACTCCCCCCCCCCCCCCCCAAAAACCAAACAAACCACACCTCATCCTAGGTGAGAAAAAGGAGTTTTGCATGATCTGGCCCACACTTCCTCCACCTCTGGCCCCACCAAGCATGCTGAAAGTGCTGGGCCAATATAAAAAGAAGCTGGTCAGCTCACTCTAAAAGGGACGCCAGAGTGGAAGGCTGTGTGGTCCCACGGAGAGCCAGCCACAGATCCTTCCTGATTAAGCTAAGCTGAGGACCTGATTAAATTTCCATAGCTGGTGCAGCGGATCTGGCCCACACTTCCTCCACCTCTGGCCCCACCAAGCATGCTGAAAGTGCTGGGCCAATATAAAAAGAAGCTGGTCAGCTCACTCTAAAAGGGACGCCAGAGTGGAAGGCTGTGTGGTCCCACGGAGAGCCAGCCACAGATCCTTCCTGATTAAGCTAAGCTGAGGACCTGATTAAATTTCCATAGCTGGTGCAGCGCCAGCACTGAGGAACCTGGAGTTCTTCTTCGAGTGGTCCACTGATGGTGTCGCGCTCGTTCTGGAGCCGCAGCTCGGAGACTTTCAATAGGTGTGTTCAGCTGGGTCGCACATGTGCAATCAACAGCTTGTGCTGTCCATGCCCTTTGATCATTGAGCATACCCAGTTCCCCGCTCAGTTCCTCTCAACTGCCTTCGGCCACAGACGGACCTCCTATCCCTTCAGCATTCTTTCAGTCCCCTCGGGATGTGTAGACAAGTAGCTGTAAATAGGTTACCCCTTCTTCCATCAACCTTCTGTCATCTAAACAAAAAAAAAGAGGATTGTTAAATTATTCAAGCTGCGGCTTCCCGCTGTCAGCGGCTAGTGGCTTTAGACACATGGGGTGGGGGTGGG